TCTTCCTCTTCTGTGTAGGTGTACAGCAAGAGGAATTTGGTCTTCTCACCCTAAATGCTTTACTTTTCCTGCCCTGCCTTCAAACCCTCAGAGAGTACATTAGGGAAAAAAAAAAAAAAAAAAATCTGAAGACTTGAGAAAAAGGCAAGATATTGTGGAAAAGCAATTTGTCCGTGAAGTCACTGGGTCTGCTTTGTAGGAAAAGAAGAACGAACATAGCTGGGCCAGATTACTATGCATCAAAAATACTGCTTCTTGTGACATAATCTCTTTGTACTTAAGACTCACCACTCTGTGCCAGTGGAATCAGACACCCAAGATGACTTAAAGATTAGAATGCATCATTAAAATCTAATCTTGAAAAGATAAAGCTTGTAGGACAAGATCTGTGCATCTTTAGCGACTGACCAGAGAGAAATCTACTTGTAAGAGCTTGCTTATAAAAGCAAGTATTTTGGCCAAGAACAGACTTTTATGTCAAGTGCTTCCTTTTAATATATCATATGTGGTAGAGATTCCAGTACCCTGGGTTAAGAAGACGAAAGCAGCAAATTAAAATGTTCAAGTGAAACATTTTTTTGTTACGGAAATATCAGAAATTCCATTTATTCAGCAGCTGCATTTGTCTATCCCAAATACAGCTGGAAATAAAAAAGATGGCTCTTCATGGGATTTTCCATTCTTTCCTTCCTCCCGCTACACACCCCTACACCCACCTTCCACCATTTCTTCGAGGGCAATACAAAAAGAGAGCTCATTTCTTTCCTCCCCCAAACCAAGAATGTTTTAAATAAGAAAATGTGTGCTCTGCAAGAGGCACATTTTTGGAGATTTGTTTTTTGATGGATCTGGATCTGTCTCTCTTTTTTTTTTCCTGTGTACAAATACAAGCGCAACTATCTGCCATTAAGAAAACCACTAGTTTCCATAAGAAATCATTCATGTCCTTTTAGTCAACTATGATTTAGGCTGGGGGACTGGTCTTTGTCTCTGGGTCATGAAAAATAAGCACTTCCAGAAGGCAAATTGTGCTATTTATCGTGAGACAGGATGTATCGTCCTACAGACATTCTCATCTTTCCTCTCAGCTGCAGAGAAGTCCAGACAGCCAACTTAGGCTGGACCCCTGAGGGAAGCAATGGTACACCCATCATAAGTTCACTGTCTATGCAAATCACCCTCTCTTTTACAGGAAAGGGGAATGGCCTCCTCCTTCACCTCATCTCTTAGACAACTGTTTTGTAGGGAGAGGACTTGGCTCTTGGACAGCTCTGTGTCCCTCTCTGCAGACTGCAGTAGCAGTCAAGAAGATTAGACTCAACCTGCCTTAGATGCCAGTTTGGACCTAAATGTTGGTTAGCTAACATGAGACATAAGCACCTCTCATTGGTCTAGCGGCCCTGCCTGCACACAGGAACCAAAATTAGGAGAAAAAGATTCTCCAGGAAGCCTTCAAGGTTCCTCTCTTCATTGTCTGTGTCATAAATTAAGCCCCTGAGATGGCGGATTCCATGAGTAGCAAAGTCAAACAGGCTGGAGTCAATGTGGTTGGCAGTGCACTCAAAATATGTACGATGGTGCTAAGGTGACAGTTCCCCAATCCAGCTGCTGTTTATCATCCATGTTCTCCTGAAGCCCTATACTGCAGTAGCCCTGTATGGATCCTCACCCTTCCCCTGAATCTCACCTTTCTCCCTTTGTGGGCAGAGTGATGCAGAACAGGTTCAGGAATATTTCACACCTGCTGTTCCTAATACACATGATCCTTTGCAGATGATTCTGCACTAAAAAGGGCTGAGATTGTTTTCCATGATCAATTGATATTGGGAGGGAGATGAACACCAAGTCCTGGCTCAGGCTTGAGTGCTATACAGCTTCTGACAGGGATGACCTGTTTCCAAAACAGGTGCCTGGCATGGTGCTGAGCTCAGGCTCAGGACTGGACTAAATCAAATTCAAAAGATAAATATTCAGAAGACATTTGAAATATAAATCACATGGAATGGAGAATTTTCTGGATGAGGAGCAGAATGCTCAGCACAGGATCAGCCATTTTCTGAGAAACTAAAGGGGTTTCAAAATGCACTCTCATTACCAAATTTGTTTTGTAAATAACTTTAGAATTGTTTTGGACAATCAAACCTGGTTATCATCTTTATATCAGTGCAATAAAACCAACATATTTTCTTCCCTACTATGACTAATTCTCATCAAATAGCCTTCCTCAAGATGAGCAATAACTCTAGTTCTATTATGTTTTTTATCTGTATTTTGGTTTTATTTTGAGAAGGAAATAATTGCTCTTATTTGATTTTGAACATTTCTCTTTTATTCTTTTGAGAGACTACTTGCTATTCTACCATCAGATACCAACTTGAACACGCAGTGGAATCAATGGCAGAATATGAGGTTAATAATAACCAGCCTGTGGCAAATAATAAGCTGAAGTAAATACTCTGAAAAATTCTATTTCTGCATGTTTCTATAGATGTACATAGTACCTTCATGAATAGATCATATTCTCATTGATGTTTCTGGTGACACATCAGTGCCTGTGGTTGGAATGACACTAGGGTTTAACCCTGGCTTGCACTGATTGAAATGGCCTTTCTATTTTATTTAATATAAAGAGATCTCTTTTATTCTTTAAGAAAAACTGCCATGTCTTGTTTTGATTTCTATAATAACACAAAGAGTGCAATATAAATCACATAAAGCTTTAAATGCTGTCTCAAAGGAGCTGCTAACAAATATCACAGAGGATTCTAGATGTATTGTATCTGTAAACATTCTAACTCTATGAACTATAATGATTGTGTATTATTAAGGGCATGATCCCACAAAAAATTGAGTGCCTCTTGCAATTTGAGCCCTTGACTTCCATGGGTTTCAGAAAGGACAAGGCTTTACACTGCAAATATCCTACAAAAAGCAAGTCTTTAGAAATTCCACCCCATGGCCCTGAGTTTATTGTCTCCCAAAGACACATTTGCTCAATTTACAGGTGAATATTTATTTTTCTCACCTGACAGTTTTGCAAACTCAACTTGACATCAAGCTGAATTTTTTTTTATTCAAGCATCATCATCAGTAATAAAGGTATTTTTGCCTTGGATACACCTGTGCAACTCCATTAGCCTCCATCAAGGTTACATGTGTGCAACTGAGGTTATATATGGAAAGCAACTGGGATGGAGAGACCTGATGGTGGACACAAATTGACCTCTGGAGTATTTATTGCTGCTGATGATGTGAAAGAAGCCAAAAAGTGGTGAGTTTAGCAAACAGGCTAAACCTTCCACTATTTTTTTCTTGTAATGCATGCAAGCCTTATGTAGGCAGCTGAAAGACAATACATGCTGAAAACTAGGCTTTTGCTTTCACAAAATCTAGGATTTTAATTTTTTATATTGTTTTAACTAAGTCCATAACAGAGCAGTGCTCAATCTAACGTATACCTCCATTTAATAACTAAATAATTAAGCAGCAAGATTTGTCAGTGTGCTTCTAGAAATTGATGCTGCCTGATGACTTCTGCTCACAAGCAGATGTCTTCACCACAAAATCCAAATGACAGTCTTTGGACAGTCAGTGATTTTGTTTCTGTAAGTTGATTCTGTAATTTTTCTTTTCCTGTAGACTCAACTCTTTATCACCCTGAGAAGCATATACTGTAGCCTTAACGATTAAATAATAATGAGCAGACAGAAGAGAAAGGACAGGAGAGATCTGGCATAGCTACTGCTAGCAATCATTAGATTTACAGAGGGGAAAAGACATGCTTCCTAGGCCAACATATTTTTTATGAATAATTGATAAGGCAGTCAGTACAGTTATTTCATAGAAATCTAATATATATCCATAATTATAGAACCAGCTTTTTGCAAAAGGACACAATACACTGAAAGGAGATACCAGCCAATATGCCATCCTGGAATAAAATACAGTCACTATTGTGTTAGTTGGCAAAATTTAAATACAGGATTTGAAGCAAGCAAAATGTTCTTTAATCCCATTTTTTAGCACAGTCCAGGCTCAGTCTGCTCAGGAAAATACTGCAAGGCAAAATCAGCAGCTGCATTAATTTGCTGATGATTGAGAGAAAAATGAAAGTTATCCTCATGCTTTTTTTTCTCCCTACTTGCTACTCTAACTTACTAATAATACAAGAGTACCAATTTATTCCTATGCAAGTATATGAAGCATACAAATTGAAAAATCAATGTAATGGAAAAAAAAGATTATCATGCACTGTTTAGAATCAATCAGCTAGAAACAGAGGGGGGAAAATGCGAAGGTGGAGACATGATGTTTAGAAAATGTACATACTGTACCTACCCTAAGCTGAAGTGTTTGTATGAAAAAGCTATTGTTAGTCCAACATGCAGACCAAGCTACATTTTGACCAGAAAAATCATCTTATTTCTAATTTTTTTCTAGAGAAATTAATCAGTTGTCTTTTCTTCTTTTAAAAGTCCCCAAATAATAAAAATATCAATCCCTTTGCCCATAAAAGCCACACAAAAACATGTAACAAAGATTTCAGGGTGAAGGGATTACAGTACTCCAAATGCTTTATTTGCACGATGTCTCAGCACCGTTCACCTGAATGCTGATGGCTTTCTGCAGCCTGAAGCACAGACTTTTGTTGTGTGTGACAGAGTCCCTTGCAAACATTGACAGCAGCAGTTTTTAGTTGTGGGCTGAATCACCATTAGCAGTGGAGTTTAAACCTTAGATCTCTCAGTGGTGGAACACTTTCTTTGGCTAAAACCAGCCTCTACTCATCAGAAATAATTACACTGTACGAGTCAGATGTGTAACAAATGGATCTGAGCCTCAGTTTGGAAATACATTCAGAGGAGGTGGAAAGAATGGCTACTGGCTCTGTGACAGGAGATTCAATCTTCATAAACCTGCAAGAGAGGGGAGGAAAAAAAAGCGACACAAATGCGCCCTACAAAAGAACAGAGCAGATCACAGCTGGAAGGAAGGCAAACCTTTTAATCAGGTCCTTGAAATACAAGCTGCAGGAAGCTAGAACATTTTGGTGGACTTCAAACTCTTTGCCTTCAACAATAATTTTCAGGTCTGTAAACTCTTTCGCTCTGCGTTGCTGGTTCAACTCCTTCAACATTTCTGCAGAACAGAGAAGACAGACAGTGCCAGGGTTCCCATTAAGAGATTTTTATTTTTACTTTTTACTTTTCATTTTTTTTGTAAAGAAGTAGAGAAACAGGAAACAATTGATATTTTTGTTGATAAGATTGGCTCAACACAGACAGTCAGAAGTTACGAACATAACATATTAAAAAAAAAAGAAAAAGAAAAAAGCAGGAACCAGTAGGTCTAAACAACGGAAATATATATACACAGAAAAAAAAAAAAGGCAAAAACAATTCCTAAATTTGGAAGGGTTAAAAATGAAAATAAAACTTCAGCATTAGCAAATCAGAAACACAGAGAATGCATTATCACAGAAAAGTTAAAATAATTTGTTATAATCAAAATCAAGAGCTAATGAATTTCTATCCAAATGGAAATAAGTTTTGAACATACTAGAATAATATTAGTAAAAATGGTATTATGATGCAATATGAACTGGATATGGGTCAAAATAATAAAACCACAAGACCTGCAAAAATAACTTATCCTTAACATAGCAAAAATGTGTTAAGCCTCCCAGTTGACATAAAAAATAGCACTTCTAAATAATATATAAATTACAGTGCATAAAAATTAGCTAAATTATCAATACACCTTGCAATATACCTCAGCTATATAGACTACAATTGTATATGTTCAGAATTAGCTTCAAAGCATCCTTATGATAAGAAAAAAATCTCATGCAGAGAATAAATTACTGCCTTTTATAGCAATTCCTATTTTTTGCACTCCAAGGATTTTTACCATCACAGCATTTTTATTTTTTAGCCTTCAATGGCTTCATTTACAGCAACAATCAACTTTCACACATCATGAAAGAATCATAATGATTAAAATAACCTATGAAAGTGTTTCCATCCTGCAATAAAGCACCTACCTTGCGTGATGTCTCCTTTTATAGAGCCTATTGGTGCTAATGGAACAAAAAGATAGCATGCCATGTCTCCATGAGGGGATGTGAACTACTAGGCAACCTACATGTTTTATATGCTGCCTGGACTTTTAAGGCTAAGACTTCCCTGCAACTTTGCAGACTAAAGTGGCTATCAAGATGAATAATATACTTTTCACCTGGGCAATAGCCTGGTGGTTCAGAAGCCAGTGATCAAGATGACAGAAGAGCTGATTTTAAATACTAAAGGACTTTGGGTTTATTTTATGTTTGCAATAGGTCAAGGTTCTCATTTCCTCAGTGTAACACCCTGAACACATTCCTCTTCAGACAGATCTGTAAATCAACAACAGTTCCTTACATGGAGTCCTTACATGAAGTAAAAGGGACCTCAAGGGTGTCTAACTCTAACTGTGCTCAAAGCTACTGACAGGCTTGAGCGAGAGCTGCCAAAGCATTGCCAAAGGGTGTCATGGTAAAACCCAGACCCAAATAATCACTGTACTCTCCTACTTCCACAAGGAAACTCAACAGGAATCATTTCAGCCAAGCACTAGTTTTTAACAACACAAAACCATGCAAATATACAACTGTTTAATGAAAAGAAATTGAAGTTCTCCCAAGCCCCAACATCTGTGGTGCATATTTTTAAGGCCTAAGTAAATAAATGTCACCTTGCACATTTATGTCTATTTAATGGAAACACAGTAGTGTCTGAAAGGCTAATTATTCTATGCTGAAATGGGTCAGTGCTCTCCAGAGAGCAAGCAGATCATTAGAGAGGGCACAGAAATAACAGCAGGCTTTTGTCAGATCTATAATAGGGGAAAATAAACCACTTTGTCCTGTGGGTGCTGTAGCAGGGACTATTTTTAACAAATTCAGCTAAGGTACAGCACAATGATACATTTTGAGCGAAACCTAAAATGGGATCTGAATGTTCACTCTGGTGCAGGGGAGTCTCAGGCTTTTGCTGGAGGTGTGATGCCTGAAGTATCACTGCACAGGAACACTTTGGGCCTCAGCTAAAGATCAAGCATGGTTAGGGCACAAGGGGTGTTATACTTGATTGAGGGCCAAAGTGATTGAGGTCTCTGGCTTCACAGTAACAGCACCAGGTGCTCTATCAGTTGCATATATTTATGGAGGAAGCATTTTTCTGTCCCTTTTCACATATGGACAATTTTTCACCCCATTCTCTGTCATGGTCCATTTTCCCACTTTCATTTACAGCAATGACATTTTCCTCACATCAATTTTCTATCATTTCATGTCTTAAAGACTGTTACTTTTCCCTCTAAACTTTCTGATACTCTCTCCCCTTTTCAAATTTATCCAACCACTGTCCTTGATCCCCATTTGCACTTTTCCTAAGTTCCTGTTCAAGCTCCATTTCTCTTGTATCTGTGACTTTAGAACCTTCCTTGCAGAGCCCTTTCAGGACAAGGGCTCTATCCATGACTAAGTCATACAAGTCCTTGAACTCCTGACTGTGGCCAAGATTACTAAAAAACAAGACACAAAGCTCAGCCACGGTACCTAGTGATGCTGTGTTCTCTGTGCTGCCTCCAGTATTGTGAGAGCTGGCTTGAGCATCTAATTCCCCAAGCAGCTCCCACAGATAATGGGCTCATTATTTGGACTTGCTGAGCACCCTTTAATTACACTCACTCCTGGGCACAGCTTCTATCTATGCTCTTTACACACTTGAATGTGCTTTATGCTGCATGCATTCATTAAGGGATGCAAACCAGAAAACAGGTCTGGAGCAATGATGCAATTTGGCTCACAAAAACCCAGAAATCAGAACAAGTTCTAATCAGAAACAAAAGCTCCTCTTTTTCCTACAGACATTTGCAGGCTGTGATTCCCTCCTTGTTCCCCTAAATTGTTATAGTGCTGCCCACAGAGAGAACTATGAAGTGTCCTGAATTTTTGCAGCTCAGTATCTGAACTAGAAACAGGAGAGGCAGGTGGAGAGGAGAAGGAAGTCAGGAGATCACATTGATTCATCGATCTTCCTCGCTCAGGCTCCTTTGTATTACTAAATAACTAGCAGGCATTAGTATTGGACACAAGGTTATATCAGAATGGGCCCTCATTCTCAGAGAATTTGTAATGCTCACACTGTGCTTAGCCAGGCATTAATGATTTATGAGGACTCAGGATGAGTTGCAAAACAAATTTTTTCACCAGGTAATAATGCCTGCCGATGAGTTGTAAAAGAAGAGACAACACAGTGCAGTCCTGGCACTGAAAAATAACCTCAGCTGTCTCCTGCTAGGCCCTCTTCTGGGCTCCTCCTAATTTTCAGCATTTCCTCAAACAAATGGAATTTCCTGAAACCTTCAAAAAGGGATGTGCTGGGAATTTCCTACCGGATTATTTATTCCTCTCATTTCTTTGCTCTAATGGACTTTATTTTCTTCGTTTTTTTGTTTTTTGGTTTTTTTTTTTTTCCTTATTTGACGATTTGTTTTATGAAGAGATCCAGGCAAAAATGAAGTGCAAGGACACTTAAGGTACAGTTTCAGCAGGATGAGCACTGATATTTCTTCTCCTTCTCCTTCTCTGGGATTCGCAGCCACTACTCTACCCTGGTGCAAGGGATTTTCCCTTCCTGACAAAGGTGCACACTCACACATTGGAATGAGATTTTGAAACCAAGCCAGTCCTTTCTGTCCCCATCTTCACTAGTGATGCTAAATCATTCTCAGTGGAAGACTGGTTGAATACTTCCTTCGTGAAGAACTGCCCAAGAGACACCCCAAAATTACATGAGCTACATAGTGGCTGAACCTAAAGGGGACTTGACCTGAAACCTGCAACTGAACATCTCTGTGGAGCATTTTCTGTCTTGCCATTATCATTGCTTGGGGGTATTTAATATAATTATATTGAGAGTCCCAGATATATTATCGGTCAGAAGGTGTAAGTGACTTTCCTCAGGTCAGAAACAGAGCCAGGAAGAACTCAGAAGCTTCAATTTTTGGTCCCCAGCTTCAGCCATCACACCACATTTTCTCCCTCTTAATTAATAGAAAAATTACGAATTAAACTACAGAGCCCACAAGCTTTGGATCAAATACAGGACCAAGCACAACTGTGTAATAGTGTAGATCAAGTAAAGGGAAAAGAAATTATATAGTGAGTATTTTTTTTAAAATTACTTATAATCAGAAATAAAAAATTAACAAGGAACTTATTCCCAAAGTTTATTTATTCTGTATTTTAAGCACAGTGAAGACTGGATACTTAAAGACCCTCTCTAATGCACATTCCCATGGCACAATGGAAGCTCTCAGGTTTCTTTCCATTTTTAATAAAGTACTCTTTACTTAAATTCTAGTAGATAAAGCTTTAAAAGAGGGCAGCAAGAACTAAAATATAATGAGCCATAAAATACGGAAGAATCATTTTTACAAACAGCTTTTAAAACAATTTACTTGGGAAAACTAACTGTCTATAAAGCTGCAGAGGGTAATTGATGAAACATCACTAATTATTCCAGTGAGGAACATGCAAGAGACCAGTGCTTGCTCACACAGCCTCCTACTTTCATGACTGGGACAGAAAAAGTGGGAAAGCCAAGAAAAGTTACCAGGAGGAAAATCCAATTACCTTCTTCCCTTAATAAGTATGGAGATTAATTCCCAAGGTTATGCTCTAGTTATGCAAACCAAAAGTTTTAATCATTAAGCGCCAGCACTGCCCACACTTGTTTATTTTTATAGTGGTAGAGCAGGGGTAGATACAAGAAACAAAATCAGGAAGCAGAAGATCTAGAAGTCAAACAGGAGCTGTGAGTGACAGGAAGGAGTTTACTATGGTGCACCCTTCCCACGTGAACCACACAAGAACTCAGGATTTTTTGTCACTTTGACAAATCCTTCTCCTCACCACAACATCCACAGACACACAGAGAACCCCAAAGCCTGCAGAGAACCCCAATAACCTGCTGAATATACCCTTGTGCTATTGATACATGGCTTGAAGCAGCTGCAGAGAGGTAACAACTCCATGCCCAGCTGCCTCATTAGGCCAGGCTGATGAAGTTAAGCAGACACTCTTGGCACTGCTG